GGAAATTACCCTTTCCCCTAAATACAGCCTCCCTATATCTCAATTTGTACGTGCTCCTTAGAGACTCAGTAGAGTCGGGTAACTTCCTCTCCAAAGATTTGGTATGTACTCAACATGCTCAAGCATAAGCTACCAGGACTAGGAAAAACACACAAAAAACCCCCCAAACAAACACGAACCAACCGACCGAAAAAACCCTGTATGGATGAAACTTGCATTTCCTCTGCTGGAAATGATCCTTCTCTCCTCCCATGGTCCTCCTCCTCATCTAGAAGTTGAATCAGCAGAAAAGGAAACATTGGCTTTTTCTTCTTTTCAGAAGGGCACCTCCTTAAAGTGGAATGTGGGCAGAGCTTAATCAGCAAACAGTTTTAACCAGGGAAGCTTTTCAGAGGGTTAGTGTGTATATTTGTGTCTATGTGTATGCATATACACACACACACACATTTTCTCTTCAGCATGTACTCAGGCACTTAGCTCTGTTTGTTGATACTTTCATGAAGGGATCATTCTGGTTAACTAAAATCAAACTGAGCAGGTGGAGAATTGCATGGAAATCATGTTTATATGTCAGCGGCATCACAGCTAAAAGTGGAGGAGACAACTCTCACCAACTAAAGAAGTGAGGCTGGAGGAACATTGCCCCCATTCAGCAACTGAGCAGAGTAACCCAGTTAATCCTGGGTGACTGGGAAACCTGGTATTTCCTGACTTGCAAATTTTGAGGGTTTTCCAAATGTTTTTATATAGATTTTCAGTGGAATACGATAACAGTCTGTGACGGGAGCATAAATTGCCTACCATCCTAACACAGACTGTAGGGGATGGCATTGTTGCAAGAATGGGAAATCCAGTGTGATAAATGTATATTTTAATTTTAAAGCTGCTGAGCATTTGTGTGAAAATAATTCTAAACCAAACAAACCCTGCCTTTTGTTGGCTCAAGGGTAGACAGGATGGTGGAAACAGGGCTGCAAAGAATGGCCCTTCTGGCAAAGGAGACCAGGATGCAGCTCTGTGGCAGACTTCAGCTCTGCGCCTCGCTGCCAGCATGCTGAGCCCACTTTCCTAGGGCCACTTTTGCGTTGTGACTACCCTGGGTTCACTTGGTTAGCTGAGGAAGATTTTTCTTGAAACACACTGGGATATAGGTCTATGAAAATAGGACAAGCCCTGAGGAACACCTCTTGGAGGTGTCCCTCCGTTGCAGGTTCTTCTTGATAATGGTCACTAATGTAGCCTGCCATGTGTCTAGGATGTACCCTATGAGGCTGACACTATGAGCCTGACCTATCCAAATGAGTGTCAGCCTATTGCCCAACTGCATAAAGAATTAAAACCAGCCTTGTAATTCTCTGCAGGGACCAACCAGAGAAGCTCTGAGAGGTTAGGCTTGGGTTGGTTTGGGATTCCCCGTCCTTGGCATCAGGATGAGACCCTGGCCAAGTCAGAGTTAGTGTGACATGTTTCAACTTTTCCTTGCAGTGGGCATGCCAAAAGATAGTCAAAGAAACCAAGACTGTAAACTTAAGGTTTATTTGAAAACTAAGATAACAAAATCAGAAAAAGATAACTTTGTGAACAAAGGAAGCACAGAGGCAGAGTAAATAAACCACTTTAAACCAAACTTCCTCCCTTGTTAGAGATTTCCTTGCAAGCAGTATTTGCTCCTTAGTCCTGTGACTTTCTGTGGCTTTCTGGGTTTGATGGACTTCATGTAGTTCCACAGTGGCCTTAGGGCAGCTTCCCCCTTGCTGTCACCTCTGATGCATAGCTGCTTGGATCTGCTGCTTGCCGAAGCCTCCAAACTCCCCCTAGGTCCAGGGTCTCCCAGGGAAGAGATATTTCCCTGCCTCTCGCCTTCAGTAGAGCCCACCTGATCAAAGGGCAGCAGCTGGAACATGAAAATAAAAGGGCAGCCCTCCCCCAGGCTGCTCCGTAACACAATATAGAGCCCTCTCCCACCCCTTCCAGTAAACCGAGTACAAACAAATAGCTCCTCCAGCACAGCTTCCTTCTGAAATAATAGCTTGGATTCTGGTTTCTGCCATTGAGATTATTCTGTTACAGCTACATATTCTTACTTTGTTGTTTGGTGATTAAAGGTCAGTGGGGGAACTACAAATATGTTTCAAAAGAGTCTTGATGAATGAGGGCAGTGAGAAGTATTGCTTGTCTGAGGGACATCAAAATGCACTTTTAAGTCAGAATGAGAGAGTTTTTCCTGTGTGATTCCATTTTCACTACCCCTGGCCACAACATTCAGAAATTCTTTGATTAAGCAAAAACTTTTTTTTTTATCAATGAGAAAGCATGACATCACTGTCACTTCATCAAGGAATTCACAGAGCTTTCTCCATCCTGCAGATGAAGGAGAGAGCCATGAATGGCACCATTTTAAGGAATGATTCTGCCTCAAAGGACATGGTAAGAATGATAATGCTCGGAGTCACAAAAGCCGCAGGGTCCCAAGAGCCGCTGAAGAACATTGGAAGAGCTTTGGTAATATTCACTGTTTGCTGGTCACATCTCTGCTCTACTAATACCACCTGTTTCTGGTGTTGGCTCTAACTTTTCTGTGCAGGAAAAACCTTCATGCATTATTTTCTCCTTTGATCATTATCCAAGAAAAACAGGACAGTCCGCTGTGTTGTCATTCTCTGTAGGTCGCTCTTATACTTCACACCAGCTTCTGCACAGGTAACTGCGTTTTTGATTTGAGTATTTTCTGTCCAGTTGAGCTACTATTGTGACTCTGTCTTTCAGGCTTTGGTGGTCTCTACTGCTCTTCATCCTGAGCTCTTCCCCAGCAGAGCTAAGTCTAAATCTGATATACTTTCCCTGACCTACACAGGACTAGTGGTGATTTTATGCACAGAGTTGTGGCGTAGGATCATTTCCCTTTTGGTGAATCACATTTTAGCCCCAGAGGGGCTAATGTATCCAGTGTGGTTTTTTAACAGAGACAGTCTTTTACACAGTGAGGTTTATATACACAGACATTTGACTTTGTCCTGTCAATCATATCTATGACACATGGCAATGAGTGTGGTTGCATTTTTCTATAGGATCCAAAATATAAATATGTGTTAACCTTCACTTGTGGCTGCAGGGAAGACCAGTGCATGGCAAGGCTTTGAATTGTCTCCTTGTACACAAGCAGGACTGTGAATGTATGGGTATATATGCATGTGTCTATGAGAGATAGGCTCTGTTTGTGATCACACCTATCACCGAGGTTGGACTCATATCACCTAACAGTGGCTGCCTGAAAGTCAGGCATCTGGTATGAGCAAGCCACCCAGACTCTTAATGCGTGAAAATGCAGGCTTCTCTAGAGGGGGATCCATCCAGTCTGGACACCCATCTTGGGAAAGAATGTGCTAAGCTTGGCAAGGTGCCTAGAGGGAGCCTGTAAGAGTCCCTGTGACTAGGTATTTAGGCAGATTAAGAGAAGTGAGACAAATCCCATCCGCCATTCCTACAGGAAGCTGGGGGTGACTTTCCTGCCTGGACCTCTTGTTTTTTAGCTCTCCTTCTGCCTTTCTGAAATATTTGCAGCTTTTTCACACATATTCTGTGTTGTTGAGGATCCACCGCAAGCTGCAGTTTCTACTTTGCCATGTCCAACGACAGTGCAGAAATAATCAGTCAAGTCTCCTCCTATAGTAAACCTGAACAGGGAGAGAAAGTCAGATTTAGTTGCATTCCTGACCTAGCTGGATGCAATGCAGTCAGTTTCACTTCCATGAAAGACAGAGTGGCACCTGGCCTTGCTGCTAAGCTATATTACTGTCAGTGGGATTAGAAGATGCCTTGTTAGAGTCTCCCTCCCATTCCTTAAGTTTCTTCCCCAGACCTCAACAAAAGTATATGGGCTATGCTTTCCCATCCAGAGACCTTCCCCTTCTTTGGTAGCCTCCATTCAATGGTGCTCCCTCTTGTACCTGCCTGGTATATCCTTTCTTTCCCCACTGAACTCCATCTAGTCAGATTCCTCCTTCCCCGCCAGAACTACAGCTGTGTCCTCTCTTGCCATCCTGATGTGACATGCCTCTGTTCCCACGTGACTCATTTAAGGGCTCCCTTTGACTTGTCACAGGGATGTGCTGAAGCACCTGGATCTAAGAGAATCAGGTTGCTACAAATTGCAGTCCCTGATCTTGCTTGTACTCCCTGCTGTTGGCTCTGGGTTTGGTTTTTTTTACTGTTTCCAGACGTTGCATCACAGTGACTTGCTGGAATAAGCTTACATGTCTGTGCTATGTTCCACGTTGTTAATCCACTTCCACTTCTTCTCGCTCTTAGAGTATGTGAGACCAAGTAAGTAGTAATGACCTCTTGATTGTGAAGTAAGATAATGCTAGAAAGGAAACAAATAATGATAATACATTAAAATTACATTTTCTTCAACAGAGGTAAACAGAAAGCTTAGTGCTAAATAGCTAACACAGAAAAAACAGTGTGCATCCAGCCACACCATCTCTTTTCACAGCTTCAGAGGCTGAATTTTTCCATTTTTATCTAATCTCATCTCTCTTCCTGGGGCTTCTTAGGAATAGACTAAATAGAATAATACACTTGTGATATCATTAAAGCTATACATTGTAGTTAACCAGGTGTGACTTGTTACCTGGAGACACTTTTCTATTCTGATTGTGATGGGAAAGCCTTTTCAGTTTTCATCAAAGCAATGGCTCTCACAAATAAGTGTCTGTTCAACTTGCTTGGTCTTGGTTTGTGTGCTAAATCCCTTTAAAACATGAGCCAGGTAGGCAGAGAGTTTGCTCCTTCCCGTGGGAGCATGCTTGGGGAGAGAATCTTCCAGATACAAGACTTCAAGAACCAAGATTCGTCTTACTGTGAAGGTGTTTGCCACCATACAGAGGTGCTTGGTTTATACGGCTAGCAGTAGATTAAAGACACCCAAAGACATCTAACATGAGAAGACACAAGTGTAACCCATCAGCCCTTTAGCATACAGGTGAAGCAACCCTCGAAGCAGCCACATGAATTTGGATCTCACCAGTTCTTCCTTGTTGTCAATGATCACCAGGTCTGAATTCATGTCAGTACATTCTTTACGGGAGGCGTTCCAGTCTTTTTTGACCTGGATTTCAGAAAAGAAGTAGCATTTTTTCCCCTTTTTTTCCCAATATGGGGGGCAGCCTGCAGGAGGGAAGAACAGGTGTGGAAAAATCCATGTTCACACTAATGAAAGGATCCCATTATGAAAGAAAGGTAAGAGAGTAAGTTACAGCCAGGAAAGTACCTGTGTGGTCCTGCTTATAATTTTCACCAGACCACCGGGGATCCCTGCCAGTCTCTGTAGCTAATACCAGCGCAGGAGTCACTAGGCATGAGTCAGAGAAGTAGAGTCACAGATAACATTATCCAGCCTTTTAAATCTTTGCTCAGGAGATAAAGAGAAATGGTCAGGGCAAAAAGCAGCTTTCGGTTTTCAAGTGTCTTATTTGCCTGCTGCAAATACAGCAATAGTGATGCCACCGAAAGAAAGAACATTCCTCTCCACTGCCAGGCAGGGTACTGGAAGGAACAGAGAGTGGGACCTGCAAAGGGTGATATGATTCAGGGAGACAGGGACTGCGTGATACAGTTTTGTTGGTTATCCAGCAGCTCCTAAACAGAAAAAGGGAATGGCACTTAGTTAAAATGCTGAGAATGGAGGTGTATTTGAAAAGCAGTATGCGCACATGCTCACTACAATGCTGTGATACCAAAGGGACTGTTACATTCATGTCTGTTCACCTAGCCACGGGCTCCTCTGCACTAGCATGAGAGGAGTAAATCAATTCTTCTTCCTTCTGAAATAGTATGCAGTGCTGACCAAGAACTACTTTTAAAGAAGATGAAAATGTGAAATGTCTCTGGCCTTGAGAGCTCATCCTATGAGTGTACAGGACAAGGTTGTTTATTCCTGAGGTGTCAGACTTTTTGTTTGTTTGTTTTTCTTCTGAACAAAATCTATTCCCCCACCACCTTAAAAGGCAATCTAACAGGCTTCTGGAAACTGTCTTTTGAATGACAGAGGGTTACCTACCTAGTGTCTCTTCATAGGTGGTGGAGAATGTTTTTGAATCAGGTGGGCTGCTTGCAGTTGGATGGTCTGGAAATAAGAATACAATTTCTGCTTTGAATGGCTGACCATTTTGCCATACACTGTTAGAGCTCTTCTGGACCTCTTTGATCCCCACCATCACCCCACACAGAATGCCTACTCCTCACCTTTTTGCTCCTCCATTGAAAAAAATAACCCACCTGTAGTACCACACTATGGAGCAGATTTCCAAAGAGCCTAACTCTGAAACTTAACAAAAAATGCTCCACACATTTTCAGAGTAGTGGTAAATGTGATGTATAGTATGCATGATGTATAGTAACTATAGCAATAAGAAATAAGAGCCGACTTTGAGAGATCAATGCTCAAGCCAATCTGTCCTGATTAAGCATGCTCCCACACAGCTTGGAGCTGCGGTCGCTGTCCGCTCCTACCCCAAAACAACTGGGGTGAGATATTCCAGCTGTGCCCCAGCTGGAAGCTGGTCTAACAGTGTTGCTCCCCCAGACCAAAGTGAGACAACGGTGTTCATTTTAGGTTTTAAAGCAGATACCCAGGCTGAAACAGCCTTGATTTTCCTCTTTCTTCTGACATAGTGGTTGTGAGGGATTTGTGCTCCACAGGAGGCTTCTGATTCCCAGAAAAAGAGACCGTGGAGGGAGGCTTACAAATTAATTGTTATTATCTGATGACTAGCTAGACCGCAAGAATTTGTCACAGAGAAAAAGGAAAAAAAGAGTTTTGAGAGGGTGGAGAAAGTAGCTGAGGCCTCAGATGAAATAAACTTATGCTTAGTTTACTAGAGACGCTCATGCGATTTTTACGTATTTTTCACGTCTTCTCAGGGCTTTGGTTTTATCAGTTTAGAAACTCCCCCAAGAGTTTAGATTCTGTTGAAAGTATGGAGTTCAGGGACCACTCACAGTTAACAGGCTAAAGGAGGATTATGTTGTTCCAGATGGCTCTGTGTAGCAGTAAGAAAATCTTGATATTCTCCCGGCTTCTCTGCTCAGGAAACCTCAGCTTTAAAGACACAATTGCCCATGCCATGAATGGGTACTATTAGTTCAACTGACTGGGAGTTACTAAATTGCCTATAACAAAGTTTAAGGAGGCATTTTTGGGGTGATTTGGGGTTGAACAATGAAGGGATGAATAATAACAGTAAAAAAACATTAAACTAAAAACTGTAGGGGTAGAATTTTTATACTTGAAACCAGAACTGATAAATTCCTTTTAAAAAAGAATATATAAAATGAGAAAAAAGATTGGATTAAAGAAAGTCCTAAGAAACCAGAATGGCATGGAGCATGAAAGAACTGACATCTCTGCAGACTTCATACTAGAGGCAAACGATAAAAGAAACAGAATATTAAAGGAAGAACTTTGTTTAAAGGCAGTAAACTCAAAAATAAGATGAGGGAAAAGAAGTCGAGAGGCAGTTAGATTAGGTGACACCTAATCTCTTCTGGACATTGAAAATTGGTAGCCCAAAGCATGCAAACTGCAACTATCAACAAGGAAGGTGGGAATCCTGAGCTCTTACTTTCCTTGGGGTAGAACCGCTTCCCCAGTACCTATGCATCCTTACATATGCAAGACTCTATAGTGAAGTAGGAATGATACCTTGGAAGGGGTTCAGCCTGCCAGAATGTAGCCATAACTATGCCAACAAGAAGTAACTATTGAGTTTGAGAGACGAGCGCCTCTGTTACAGAGAATCCATTTTTGCTTTGTACCCACGTCTGACAAAAATAGGTTATTTTATCATATATGTAGCATCTCTTCTTCCAATACATTCTCTGTAGCCAAATTTTTATTGACAAAAATCCTGAGGAGCATTTGTGCCCTAATTGAATATCTTATTCCAGTAAGATAGTCAGTTTTCAGAGAATGCTGCAGAAGTTAATTTTTTCCTCAAGAAACAAAGAATACTGGCCAGGCAAAGGTTTTCAGGAAAGGGAATACCCTTCACTAGGCACACTTTTGCCTGTTGTGAGAAACAACGTGACCAGCCTTTAACATGTGGTGATTTTTTCCACCAACTCCATCTCAGAGAGTTCTTCATAGCCATAGACATCTATCCCTTACTCTTTGCCTTGAAAAAGAAAAAACAATTTCTTCCCCAACCCTATTTTTTAAGTTCCATGGATCAAAGGTTTTGGCATGTCTTCACAAAGCGTGTCTCCAGGTGCATCTCTGAGTAGGTGGCAAACTCTGGGACTTGAGTGTGATTGATTGTGGAAACCTCTTAAGCTTGCTCAACTATCAAAGGATGAAAAGAAACAAGCAACCCTATCTGAAATTTTAAAATGAGTCCTCGAAAATATTCAAAGGAAAGTACCACATGGGTCTACTAAAATTTGTTTCTTTGTAATGGAGATAATAATGCTTTATTTCTAAAAAAAGAAAATATATCTTTTTATGTAGCTCAAAGATTGTTATGAACTCAGTGATATATATGCAGAGAGACCTAGTATTAGGCTTTTATTTGAGTAAAGTGCAAACAAATTCCTTTAAGTTGTGACTCAGCTACCTCTTTCAAATGAGCTTTTATTCATATTTATTTAAAGACTTCTAGTGTTATGGACATCTTGGTGACATGATACAAGATCATCTCCTTGAAATATTCTCATGGATAGCAATCATATTACTAACAGGCATTATCTAATCTTTACTTTTTTCTTCAAAACATTTGTATAATACATTATTTATTGTTTGAACATTGTCAGGTTTTGTAATTGGCTTTTTTTCCTTTTGGAATTTTAAACTTACAAACCACTCAACTCGTATGGATTTCTTCTTACGGCCACAGTTGGCTAAAAACTACTACCCTGTGCCTTCAAACTAGCCTTCTGTTCCTACTGGTTTTGGATGTCATGACTTAGATGTCAGTCAGTGGGTGAGAGGCACGAATTAATTGCAGTTATTACATTTTTAGCAGGACTTACAGATGAGTATCAGACACACCGCTAAGACCAGTAGGATGGTTATCACAGCAACCAATACAGCGACACGTGTTCTGGAGCAACAGCTTTTACCTACAGAGAGACAGCAAAAATAAAAATTAGGGGAACAACTGGGAAAGGAACCCTTCATCTTCATTCAAAGATGCCCTTTTCAGGCTCACACTGAGACAACTCTTTCGAGTTAGGCAAAGCCCTTCAGTGCTGTCCCTTCTGACTTTTGTTCTTCTTGTGATAGATACGTTGTGGACACATGGTTTTTTTTTTTGCTTCCATGACAGACATTCAACCTGAACCCTTCTGCCGTTGCCTAGAATACTTTGTAAAATTCTGCTGCACTTGATACTAGAGTTAAGGGCTCACTGGGATCCTTATCTGCCCTCTCAAAGTACTGTGGAAGCAAAACCCAATCAATCTAGCAGATAAAGGTCCTGCCATGTTATACTCCCTAACAAAGCAAATTTTTCAGAGGAGTTGAACTGTCTCCTCTTTCTGTTTTGACTCTTGTTTATGGACTTTTGTTCAGGATTTACTTCAAGGGGATCCTTGCAATATTCATTAGTCTGCCAACTCAGTGGATACTGACTGGGTGCTATAGAGCACAAGCAGGTCCAAGAGGGGACAAATAATAAGTTCAATGGTTGACTGAACTCATCAGACACTGAATTAAAAGCTAAAGGAGAGCTTTCCATCTCTTCCTGCTTCACGTATCTGCTAGAGTATTTACTTACCCCTTCTGCTATCTTTGAAGTTTATGGTGTCTGTGTGACAACTAGGATCTGAAAACCAAACTGAGGGTTTTGCTGCTATTGCCCCTGCTTTGTAAAGTAAACTGTTTTAGGTAAATGAGGAATCTTCATCCTAACTGCAGTCAATATCTGGTCTGTTCTGACTGGTAACCTCATTTTTGCACCTACTTGTGCATTGCTATTCAAATTACTGAAATGCTAAGAAGCTGTCATAGATAATATAGTATTAAACTAGATTGATTTTAAACCAGTCTTTGAAAGAAGGCGGCACACAAGAAGCACTCTGTCCTGTCAAGTTTTCTGCCTGAGGAGGTTTGGTCAGGAAATGGTTGCACCCTGAAAACATGTTGACTGCACTAATCAACAAATCTATTTGATAGGTGCAAACTGTCTACTGATACACTAGTGCATGTGGCTACCAACAAGACTGGGAAAGGCAGAGAGAAGTTTTAGTGGCAAAATGGAAGCTTGTAGGAAGGAAGTTGGTGACCAGGAATCCTAAGGTGGCAATTCCAGAAATGGTCCCAGTACCTTATGCAGGACTGGAGGGAGAAATGAAAAGGCAACATTTTAGCACCTGGCTGAGAAGATGGGGTAAGGATCCAGGTTTCTGATTCTTCAGGAATTTGGGACACGTCTGGTGCAGAGTGTCCAAACACTCTGGAGGAACAGATTTCATCTGAACTATAAGGGAGTCAAGCTGCTGGACATGACACCTAGAATGTTTTCGGTAACTTTTTAAATTAATAAGAGCAAACTGACAGGGGCTGAAGGTTGCAACTAACTCTTAAAGTGAGGAAAGGGAAGCTGACATGGGCTAAAGAGCAGTTTAGGGTGATATTACCATTACGTGTGACTTCAAAACCGCTGTACCTCAGGAAAAGGAAGGGTCAGAGTGTAGAAACAGTCAAGCAGAAAGCGCAGAACTGACTGTCATTTAAATAAAGCGTTAAGAAGCAAACTACAGCTACAGCACACCTGCTTCTACACATATACTACAAGTCTGAGAAAAAAGCAGGGAAGACCTGGAATGTCCCACCCTAGACTAAAATACTCAGATGTCAGGTAACTGAAAATGGGTGGCTTCTGCCATCTGAGATACCCTCAGGTATCAGATAACTGCACAGACCTGGAAGATGTTACTCAGGACCTCCAAGAATCTGTGGCCTTCTAGATTCACATACTGAAGCCAGACCGAATGTCCCGATGCTTCCCAGATGGCTCTGGACACCTGTGGTTAGGTAACTGAACAGCATCCCAATATGCTATGTATATGGGGAAGTGGTTAAAAGGAAGAGAGTCGTCATAGTACTAGACTACATAAGGAAAAATAGAGTGCTAATGGGTAAAAGTGGGGAACTACAGGAAGCTTATTAAAAAGAAGCTAAAAAGGACTGCTGAGAGAGAATTAAATCCACACAGGCAGACTATATATTTTTGAAGGACAGCATCCTGACAACATACGGCCAATACAAGGCACTTACTAAGAATGATCTGGGAACAGGTGAAAGGAAGTTGGCACGGCTACTAGAACAGATCGTTAACTTTCCAAAGCTGTAGACATCAAATGAAGAAAACAGAAAGTATCACAAACCCTGGGAGATCAAAGATTATATATAAGAAAAACCAATTAGACAGAAAAGAAGTTGAGAAGGAAAAGACTTCAAACACGTGTTTTTGAGCACATGTGTTTTCAACACATTGTGTCTTCAAACACATCAAGAGAAGGTATATTGCTGGAGATATGTAGGCCAGTGGAGTGTAGGCTATCCAGGAATCATTCAGAAGATAAGGCCATAGTAGAGAAGCTAAACTAATCCCTCGTGTCAGGATTGACCAAGTAAGAACTGGGTAGATATTCCATTTCAGGGCAGTTCCTTGTGAGGAGCCACATGAACTGGAAGACCTACAGCCCAAATCAAAAAATGGATATAGTAACAAATTCCGAGAGACTAGGTGTGAGATAGCTGGATTACTAATGCCATTTTGTAATCCCACTCTTAAAGCTACCTTTGCACCCAGTGACTAGAAGGTAACAATCTAATGTGAATTAAAAATAAAAAATAAGAAAATTCTAGAGGAGATCTGTGAACTTCAGGTCTGCTGTCCTGACCACACAGTCACAGAATCATTTAGGTTGGAAGCGACCTTTTCAAATCACCTAGTCCAACTTCCCTGCTCAAGTGGCATCAGCTAGAGCAGGCTGTCCAGGACCATGCACAGTCACGTTTTGAATATCTCCTGGGATGAAGACTCTACAACCTTACGTGTTAGGAATTATTCAGGAGGGAAACTAACAAAAATCAGGGATGTTTTGTCTGCCACAAACATTTATCTGTTTTATAAATCCATGATTCACCTCTACCTTCAGTGGTGCATGCAGTTCTACTACCCCTATTTCAAAAAGCACATAGGAAATGGTTCAGAGAAGAGAAGCAGTAATGACAGTGTAGACTAGAGTTCTGCAGTGTGGAAAAGAGGTGACTAAGAAAAGGCTATGTCAGAGTTATATAAAATCCTGAGTGTCATGGAGAGCTTGGATAGGGTTTGGCTGCTTACTATTTCTTTCAGGGAACATCAGCTGAAGCTAATAGGAGGCCAGCTCAGAGTAAAAAAATACAGCTGGTTCTTTGTGTGATGTCAAAAAGAACTGTGGATCCCCTCATCAAAGGATGTTATAGAAATCAGGGCTGTGTATAGAACCAAGAGGAGATCGGGCAAGTTTGTTGAAGAGAAATCCACTGAGGGTACATAAATGTCTCAAGGAAGTCCCTGAGTAGATGCATGCATGTGCAAGTATTACAAGAAGTTACCATATATGCCTACCCTCTTCTTATTCGTCTCTAGTTGTTCACTTATGCCCGCTGTTGGAGACAGGAGGCTGGGCTAGATGGTTTCTTGGTCTGGCCCAAAATAGCCTGTGTTCCTATGCCAGTGAAGCCAACAAGTGTTTAGTTGCATATAACGCGATACATCAACTGCACCCTGCTCTGGCTATATAAAGCAGACAACTGTATCTTCCTGTCTCCCATACGGTTTTATATCACTGCATTTTTAGAAAATAAGGAACGGACTCCTATCCTCTCATTGTTTAAATTCGTATCATTCTAGCAGGCAGCTAAAAACTCACCGGACGATGTGTAGCTAACTGCAGCATTTGTGTCTAGGGATTGCACTTTCACTTCTGCATATGTAGAACCTAAAACCAGGCAAAAATAACAGAGAACAGAGAAAGTTGAGAAACAACTTAAATGGAACAAAAATGACTGAAATGGTGAGAAATGCTAAACGCATGACAGCACCTGGTTTATGTGACTGCGTTTAGCCATGCCCGAATAATATTTTTGTCCATTGCATTCATACCTTAGAGGACTTGCTATAAGCAGAAACAGATCTGGTTTATCTTCAGTGCAGACAATAACAGAGGAGACACAGGCAGATGCACACACATTTTAAAGCTGAACAGACGTGGAGAAAAATGTCTGAGGTTGTCTGATTGTCTTACTCAATTCACATCCATATGTGAGTGGTGAGAATGGCTACAATATTGAAGCAAACCTGAAAACTGCAGATCATGCTAAATTTGAAGGGGTTACTAGTTAACAATAAGACGGTGAGAAAAGTGAAACCTATTCTAACATCTGCAGATAATAAATACAAATGAGCATGGAAGAAAGCACGTGGGGAAGGAAGGAGGGCAGGGACACATAAAAAGAGGGTAGAAAGTAAGAAATACGATGTTGCAATTTTATAAAACATTCAAAGTCATCCTGATATACAGCACTGAGCCCCTTTGTTTCTATCACCGTAGAGAGTTAATGTCTCCTGTGAGTTTAAGTGCATTCTTCTGGCTTATGGAATTAATTTCATTCCTTTGTGAACACTGCATTTGATCCAGGGAATCCACTATCAAAAAGAAAATAGCAAAGTGGAGGAAAAAGAAAAGAAGACAGAAGGCAGTGTTTGAGCTCTTTTCTGTAAGATACGTGCAATCACTGGGAAATACTGTGCATAAATTAAGTGAACACATAGAAGGAAAGAGTTGATAGGGCTTTTTCAGAAAGGCACAAGCAAAGAAACATAAAAATGCTATAAAAACTGTATAAAAGCTGTAAGTAGGACTACATGGATTAAATTATAAGGAAAATGGAACTTTTAATCAGATGGCATCTATTGTGGGTGCCTGCCAATTTAGCTGTGAAGTAACCTGTTAAAAGAGATGATAGAAACACTGTTTCTTGGGGCATTAGAAACTCCAGCCATCTGAAAATGGATGCCAAGGGATCACACTTTATGCAAAAGACAAGCACAGGATGTCAAGATACAGAAACTACTATTTCTGTCAAAGAGACAGTAAGGTTAAAAAGAAAGGGAAGAAAAAAGAAAATGAAACACAGAGTCAAAGTGTGTGAAGTCTTTTAGGATGTAATTTTATGCAGATGTAGCAAAACCAGTGCAAAAGTTGATGTAATAATTCTTAGTGCATTAAAGAAAGATAAATTTTAGGTTGGAATTTTGCAAAGTCATTTATACTAAATCAAACTAAATATGTCCATGAAGCATTTTGTGCTTGATTCATTAAACAAGTAGTTTGTACAGACAAAGCCAGGAGGAAAAAACCCCAAAGCAATGCCTACTATGCTCAGCAAGCAGAAACAGGCTACATGCAAGACTGCTTTGAACAACAGAAACATTAGGCACTCAATCTCCTGATTGTTTTGCTGCAGGAATCAGTCTGCTGCGTGAGAACACACCTGGTTCAGGACCAATTGACATTCAGCTGTGGAATAATCTCCTAAATTGATACGAACTACTCTTAATATCACAGAAGAAACTCCCCCTTCACATTGGCACCTTAATGAATGACAAGTAGACCTTACAACAGTCCCCTTTATTTTGGTAAAAAAATTATATGGACACTCCACCTGTGCATTTTTCACAGCTCTGCCCCCTGTATTTTCTTTGTCCTCTTTGGGGCTTTGGTGCCCCACAGCACTCTTTCAAAATGTGTGGTAAGGATGCTGAAGAATACAAAGAAAGCTCAGTGCAAACTGGTTGACCTACCTTGGACATCAGTGATCTTCTGTAGTCTGGGCCTGGTTGATTCAGTCAAGTTCAAGTCAGCGTAAATGACATTTTCTGACATTCTTGCTCCCCCTTCTCCTTTTTTCCCCCTCACTGCTGTTTTTAAAATGGTACTCTAGACTGAGGATGACTCACAGCTCCCTCCCCTTCAGGAGGAAGTTCTTTCCTCTTTCTGTAATACAGAAGCTCATAATGAGAAGGGAAGTCTACTTCTAATTGGTCTTTTGATAGTAACATGTTAAATGTAAGGTTGTGGCCTTGACATGGTCGCCTTTGTCGGGAAGTCTACTTCTAATTGATCTTTTGATAGTAGCGTGTTAAATGTAAGGTTGTGGCCTTGATATGGTCACCTTTGTCGGGAAGTGGTTCTAGCATTAGTAGTATTTTGAGTTCCGAATATTGACACCCTGTTCCCTCCCCCACCTTGTATTTTGAAAAGACAAGCTTTATTACATGACATGGAAAGGAGAAGAAAAGTACAGAGATTCGGAAGTCAGCCCCAGGAAGCAGAGTGAAGCTCTCAGTGTGGACCCACAGCACATCACGGGGAGCAGCCCTGCAGAGTCCCAAAGGCACTGCTCTCAAAAGCAGACATCTGAAAGCATGATACATTTGCCCCGGATCCATAAAGGAATGTACTCAATGCTGCTGAAACAGGACCCTGCCATACTTCGGGGCTCTGTCATGTGTCTGCAGCTCTTCTAAACCAGAACCAAGCTGACTTGCTGTGTCCTGAGGAATGTGGGTTTTGTGCAGCTCAGAAACATGTTCTTCCCCTCTGTAGTTAACTTCTGATGGCAAATGGGGATTCATAAAGTGGGATTGGTCCAGCCTGTTTCGGGAAGGGCAAAGGGTGCTTAATATGCAAAGGCAGCAACTAGAATAGGTTAGTCTAAACAAGACAAGCCCTAGGCTTTCAATTCCCGCATGACTAATGCTTTCATAGAGCACAAGGTGGCAGCTATGTGGACATTGTGCTGTGAATCATTGTTAGAGGAAATATCTTAGCTCATAGCAGCATTTGCCAATTGAAAATGCCAGATTTTTTTTTGCACTGACAGCAAGGAGAAGCCCGACCACCCAGCCTGATCTGCTGGTCGACAGCAGGCTCAGTATGAGTCAGCAGTGTGCCCTGGCAGCCAAGAGGGCAAACCTGGGATGCATCAAGCACAACATAACCAGCTGGTCACAAGAAGTGATTATCCCTCTGTATTCAGCATTGGTGCGGCCTCACCTTGAGTACTGTGTGCACTGGGCCTGTTCTGGTTTAACCCCAGCCAGCAACTAAGCACGACGCAGCCGCTCGCTCACTCCCCCCTCCAGTGGGATGGGGGAGAGAATCGGAAGGGTAAAAGTGAGAAAACTCATGGATTGAGATAAAGACAGTTTAATAGGGAAAGCAAAAGCAGAACACGCAAGCAAAGCAAAACAAGGAATTAATTCACTACTTCCCATCGGTAGGCAGGTTCTCAGCCACCTCCAGGAAAGCAGGGCTCCATCACGCGTAACGGTTACTTGGGAAGACAAACACCGTCATTCTGAACGTCCCCCCCTTCCTTCGTCTTCCCCCAGCTTTATATGCTGAGCATGACATCATATGGTATGGAATATCCCTTTGGTCAGTTGGGGTCAGCTGTCCGAGCTGTGTCCCCTCCCAGCTTCTTGTGCACCCCCAGCCTACTTGCTAGTGGGGTGGGGTGAGAAGCAGCAAAGGCCTTGACTCTGTGTAAGCACTGCTCAGCAGTAACGAAAACATCCCTGTGTTATCAACACTGTTTTCAGCACAAATCCAAAACATAGCCCCATACT